ATAACTTGACGTTTAGCATTACCGAATGGAATCAGCACGAAGTCAACGTACTCCCTGGCGTAACGCCATATCATCCGGTGCAAGTTGTGCGTCATGAAAACCTGACAATCAGGGCAAAGTGTTTCGTAAAGCACGGTTAGCTTTATGCGATGGCCACTGGTAGATGAGTCGTATGAAGCACAGGCTTCGGAGGCACCGCATTGGGCTGCAAGTGCCGCATCGTCACACCACAAATCAGGAGGTACACGACATAGATCGCCAAGCACAATAGACAACGTCATAACTAGAAACGTGAAAGTGAAGAACATGTTGAACTCTACAACCACGTAACGCACACTTCGACCGAACAATGACACGCAGCGAAACCTCGTCAACCGTTGTTCGCTGACGTCAGCTGCTATGCCACTGGCTTTTGACTTTCCGTGGAAATCACTTTACTCTCTGAGCCAACTGATACATCCAATAAAGTTCTGAGCACATGCTGCAGATGTCATAAACAACTTTTCTGCCACCTGTTTCACTTCCTCGCGACTCTTTAGTGGCTTGCTGCGCCGCTTTGTGCAGCGCAGACAACTCGTCAGTTTAACAGCCAACTGAAAGAACAAACAATTCGAGGCTAATTTTGACTTGCAACCGATATTTCGATTTTTCAAAGCAATCCAACTGAATTCCTTGTGAAGCAGCGCTGGAAAAATGTAAAAGCGCTTGTTCTTTCATTTTTTCCATTTGGTTTCACTCTTCACCCTTTTCTCTTGTCACGTTACCACGTTCAAAAGTTGTTTTTCTTTTCTTCATTTTCCACAGATACATCTCATGGGTCTTCAACCTCTGCTCCAGGATTCTTCTGTCGTTCGTCCGGAAGTGGCTGCACAGACAGCACGAAAATAAATTCTGCTCACGTGAAAAAAAACATTCAATCAACGATGTTTGATCAGAGTCTAGACAATCAGAAAGAGAGCAGGATAAGATTTGCTTCAATGAACCGCTTTTGAATCGACAAGTGAGTTAACGATGCAGAGCATCAATCACTTCCGTACACTTCCGGTATGTTCAGTTGGTACTGCAGTGATCAGTATTTGATCGAGTGCCAAGAATTCCTGACTGACAGTGAGCCAGACTTCCGTACAACCGTGGGCAGATGCAAGAAAATTCTCCACCTCAGCGATTTGTTGCATGACACCCTCCTTTATCTTTTTGGTCACGTGCTGTTTCTTGTCAATACCACTGATTCGAGATTTGTTTCATGCAGTGGGCGCAATAGGGTGGCATCGTTCTTGAGTATCCATCAGATGATATATTTGTGTAGGTGGGATTGCTCCATTATCTGGGTGACCAATTGTACTGCGTTGTGTAAAAGATGTCATATTTAAGCATTGTTTCAATAATATAAAGAACGGCGAATGTAAAGTGGAGTTGTCAAAGATTTATATATACCTCATATAAGGGATGGTACAAAGTAGTAAGAGGTTGGCTTTCGAACGCCGAAAGTGCAGAGTTCGAAGCCGGGAAAAGATTTTTCTAACTGGTAATTCTCTTGAGCAAGTAATTCGTCCATGTTATTTCAATGCAGTCAACCAAGAAACGGTTGGCAAACCGATGACTTGCGAACAAAAGGAGCAGAGAATGATGTTCATGGTCAGAGGCACAGCCACACTGTCCGATTCGAGCGCTTTCCAGGGTTTATATTCGCTCCGACCGATCTGATGGTTGATTATTTAGTATGATAATCAGTACATTGGATAGACTAAAACCATATTAATATTTGTAAGGTTTGCGACGGTACGAGAGGATCATCGAACTACAGCAAGCGATGACTGCCCTCGCATGCAATGCCGATGACAGATCATAAATTGCGATAAACAAATGCTACCGTACAGGGAACACCTGATTCAACTACGCTTTATCCCAAATTTACACACTGATTGTGGATTGCGTGAATCACTGCAACTGAAGATGACCGATGGGTTCAGTCTAAGCAACGAATTTTTCGCTTCTGTGTTTCTATCTGTCAATTTATTCGTTATCAGGTCATGCCCAAAGAGAATGCTTTGTTATATATTGTCTTGCGAAACAATTTCCGATGCGATTCTCATGGAATGAGGAAAGCTTCGAATTGTTTGGCAAATCAGTGAACGGTATTGTCCTTCTGTCGCCATCTTGGTACTTTTCTTGATCCCAGAACAGTGTGAAAGTACTTCATCCAGAGTTGTCATTTCTTTTTACAACTTGCATGTTTTGTTCCTGAATGTTTTTTTTAAAGATAACTTTGAGTTCCACGCCGCTTTAGGATTTAATCGTTTAAAAAGATCATAGCGATCGATTTTTATCATTTGCTGCATATATTGAATAAAGGCTTTTCAATATTCATGGTTTGCGAGAATTTACATATCAATCTTATGTATGCTTTTATGATAAGCGTCACTTGTGATGTCATTTTACTGTGAGCTCATGATGCTGCAGTAATTTGGTTCAGCGGATTGTCGTATGTTTCTTTTCCATGCTCGTTATGGAAAATGTACTCGTTTATAAACATATGAAGGCGAAAGGCAAGCCATTCAGCTGGAATTAAAACCTGAAATATGTACTTGAAAATTGAATGGATGCAGTTCGCTTGTTCATCTGCATGCGTTTCAGAAGTTAAAACGAAGCCTAGCTCTCTTTCAGTTCCATTTGTTTTTAAGCTAAAGTTAATAGAATGTCAAAATTATATTACATATAGACTTAATATTCTGTTCTGTCATTTATTGTTGTTGCCATTGTCATCTGAAGTGCCAGAGTCAAAAATCGAGTAACAAGAATTACAATATCTGACGCTTCGCTTTTCTAAATCGCTGTATTATTGACCATCGGTTGCTTTTGTGAATAATCTGGCGCAGAATGCCGCCAGGCCGGTAAAATCACAAAATGTTTAGGAGTGTAGAATTTGAAAATCGTCATAAGCGGAATAGTAGCACAAGCATATCACCAACCTTATCATAAGTTTAAAAAAACTTGTCTCTAATTGAACGCACTTAAGCAGCATGGATATGTTGAAACTCATTGATTTTGACCATGGATTAAAGCATTAAATCTGACCCTCGAGGATTCATTCGTCATTTGATTTAACATTGCTTATAAACCGGGAAATGCATAACCTTTATTTCAATCTAAACAAAGAAAGTTTAAAAAATCTGATGTCTTGGATAACTCCGCCGTTGCGGTCTCACGCGTGGATGAGAAAGGAGGATATGGAGACCGTGGCGTCTCTGTAAAACTTAGACATCAGCCCTTCACCTTATTCGACCTGGTATTGCCGACGTCAAATATTATACCGGCTAGGTCGTCGCCCGGGCTTCCAAGGGCCCTAAGGCTGTTGCCGAAGTCAGGCACATTGCGAAAAGTCAGAGATCAGAACCTGCTCATCGCCTAATGCCAACCGGGAGCGTAGCAGCACAGCAACGGCTGACTAAGACCGAGGAAACAACGATGAAGATACCAGTTGGCAACGCAGTAGCTGCCCGTTCTGAACGGAGGGGGCAAACAGCGCGTTGCCATTATAGCACTCCAGAAAAGGCTTCACGAGAATGACACCACCAGATAGAGCTTAAAGTCGGAAATTGGAACATATCCTCACTTAAAGGGAAAGAACAAGAATTGGTTGATGAGGCCATAAAGTACCAATTCGACACTGTTGGACTCTCGTCAACGAAACGCCAAAGCTCTGGACTCCTACACCTCAACGGATGGAAGCTGTTCTACTCAGGCGTCGGCGCTCAGGCCGGTATTGGCGTTCAGGTAGAACCTAACCTC